ACAACGTCATTGCCGGTGAAGGCATTCAGGGCGGCGGCCGCATTCCCGCTGCGGTAACCACGAACGACGCGCTGGGGCCGACCGCGTCGGCCGGCAACGACACGATCACCGCTACGGAGGGCAACGATACGCTTGCAGGCGAACTATTGTCCTTTAGAGGTCCCAGCTTCGACAGCACGGTGGAAAACCTGTCGGAAGACGGCGGATCCGCCGGCAATGACCTGATCCGCGGTGGTGACGGCAACAACCAGATCTCGGGCGATTTCGCGGGACTGGACGCGACCCGCTTCGTCGGCAACCGCCTGGCGTACAACCAAGCCGACCAGGGAAGCTCCGGCGGCGACACCATCGGCAGTGGGTCCGGAAGGGATGTCATTGCAGGCGACGCCCTGGGGGTCTCGCGTTTTGCAGTGGCGGATGCAGTCAACGCAGCGCTCGGCGCCGAGGGGCGGGCCGGCGATGATCGCATTTCGGACGGCGGCGGTGGAGACCGTACCTCCGGCGATGCCCTTGCGAGCGGCCGGGAGGGAGCGGCGGCGACCGCAGCCAACACTGGCGAAGGGGGCGGCAGTGCCGGGGCGGATACCGTCAGCGGCGGCGCCGGTGCCGACACGGTCGCCGGCGATACCATGGCGGTTACAGCCGGAGGGGCGGCGTTGGCGGAGGGTGAAAACAGCGCGCTTGGCGGCATTGCGGGCGGCAACACGATCCTCGCCGGATCGGGCGCCGATCTGGTGTCCGGCGGCGCCCTGGCGATCAGCGGGTCCGATGCCACGGCCACCGGCACCAATCTCGCCGAGGGCGGCGGCTCGGCGGCCGGAAACGACAGCATCCGTGGCCTGGACGGCTTCGACAGCATCGCGGGCGACTCGCTTGCGCGCGGCGGCGCGACGGCCAGCGCTTCCGCAAGTGCCGATGCGACCGACGGCGGCGCGGCCGGGGACGACACCATCACTGGAGACGGTGCGGCCGACGTTCTGTCGGGCGATGCCATGGCCCTTGCGTCCGCCGGCACGCCCGAGGCCCGCGCGGAAAACACGGCCGCCGAGGGTTCGGCGGGCAGCGACGTGATGTCCGGGCAGGGGGGCAACAACCTGATTGCCGGCGATGCCCTTGCCGATGGGGGGGCGGGCGGTTCCGCAGAGGCCGAGAACACCGCCCAGGCCGATGGCGTGGCGGGCAGTGACAATCTGGTTTCCGGCGATGGCCGCGACACCATTGCCGGCGATGCGCTGGCGCGGGGCGGCGGCGCAGCAAGGGTTACGAACACTTCGGTCGCGGTGGCCGCCCTGGCCGGCAGCGACGTCATCATCAGCGCACAGGGCCAGGACGTTATCTCCGGCGATGCGCTGGCGCTTGACGGGGGAACTGCGGAGGTGATGAACGACGGCCCCGCGGCGGGCGATGACAGTATCAGCAGCGGTGGGTCGCGTGACAGCATCGCCGGAGATGCCTTGAGCGACGGCGGCACGGCATCCGTCACCGGGGGTGGCGATGACACCATCGACGGCGGCGCGGGGGATGACCTTATCAGCGGCGATGCCCTGGCCTTGGACGGCGGTGTGGCACAGGTGTCGGACGGGGGAGACGATCTGATCCGGGGTGGTGGAGGAGCCGACACGGTCTTTGGCGACTCCTCCGGTGACGACTCTCTCGGTGGTGACGATACGATCTATGGCGATGCGGGCGCCGACCTTCTCGCCGGCGACTCGGGCGATGACCTGTTGCTTGGGGGCGAAGACGACGACACGCTCGGCGGTGGGTTCGGCGACGATACGCTGACCGGCGGGGCCGGTGCCGACAGTTTTCTGTTCGGTCGTGTCGAAGACCCGGCGGGCGAGGGCAACGATACCGTCACCGACTTTGCTGCTTCCGAAGACCGCCTGATTTTTTCGGGTGTCACGGACCAGGACAGCGACACAGACATCGATCTTGACGACCTTCTGAACGCCATTGCCTCGGTTGTCGACGCGGGTGCCGGAAACGATGTGACGGTTTCGCTGACGAACGGAGCCTCGGTCACGTTCCTGGGTGTGGGCACAGGCTCCGTGACCTCGGTCGAGGATCTGGTGAACGACCCGTCCACCCAGATCATCGTGGTGACCTGAAGCCGACACGGCGTGGCATCTTTTCAGGGGTATGAGCGCGCGCCCTGGTAATCGGCGATCGGAAAAGCAAAAAGGAGTACCAGCGTTTGGGAGTATCCCTGTATGGACGGTACTTGAGGAGAACCTGAGCCGGGCGAGACCGGCGCGGTCACCGAGAACCGTTGTGAAGGGATCACTCTTCTCGACGCTTTTTCATTGACTTGAATTCGCGGCTGCGTAGTCTCGACAGCACTGCAAATCCAGGGGTGGATTACGGTCGCGTTGGGATACGCGACGCGGAGGTCTGAAGTGGGACCTCGGCCAAACCTTGGAGCGTTGCGATGCGGAGCGATTTGTCGATTTCGGTCAGGGCGACCGAGGCATGCGTTTCCGGCCCGCCACTGAAAGTCTCCCAGTCCAACCCATCGGCCCGGCCGCTGCGCGATCTCTGCTGCGAGAAGGCGTCGCAGGCCGGCGCGCCCGCGCGGCGCACCCCCGCACCGCCGGCCTGCTGCAACCGGAGGGTTGGCAAACGACCTGAAAGCCCCATCCGCGAAAGCGCCGAAGGGGTGCGGCCCGGCACAGGCAGGGCTTCGCTTCGCCGTAGTCGTTCGAGAGCGTGCCGGCGTATTAACTATCTGATTTATATGGATAATTAGGAACATCAGAAGAAGAGGCCACAACCTTGTGTTTTGATTCAGTGGGTTTGCTGGGTCAGTGGCCTGGAGCGTTCTTACAGGTGAACCATCGTCTTCTGTGATTCGACTGAATTGCAGATCCAGGGGTCAATCGCCGGCGCGTAGGGAGACGCGGCGCGAGTGCTCAGTGAAGGCACTCGAGGAACCCTGGAGTGAAGCCGCATGTCGGAAACGCCGTCACCCTCGGTCAGGACGACCGGGCAAAGAGGGGGCGAGCCCTCTGCCGAGTCATTAACCAACAGATCAAGCTTCGGTTCCGCCGGGCGCAGGACACGACCGGCCCGGTCCCGTCCGGCCGATCGTCCGGATCCACTGGCGCCGCCCCGCCTGATCATCAGCGAGATCGGGCTTGGCGTTTCCAGTCCTGCGCTCCCCGGCGTTCTTGCCGGATCTGCGTTCAACGGTCTGCCGGAACAGCCACGCCTCAACGTGCTTCAACTCCACAATCAGTCCGACGTCCCCATCGGTTCCGCAGACCTTACCGTTGAGTTGCTGAACCCGGGCGGGAAAGTCATCGAGATAGCGATCCCCGGCGACCACCAGATTCCGCCAGGGGGATTTCTGATGCTCTATGAGCAATCGATCGAAGTCGGCAGCGCGCTGGTCGCGATTGTAACCGGCGCGTTTCTGGATACAGACGGAGCGCTTCTGGGTCAGTTTCGGTATCCGGGCACGGTTCCGTGGGAACTTGGTGCGGACGTTTCCGCAAAGCTGGCGGTCAACCTCGTCCTTCACTCAGACACCGCAGGTGAGACGGCCATCGACACCTTTGCGGCCAACCTCTCCCCCGCCAGCCTGGGTGTTCTCAGGAGCCCGCGCAAGGTGGCTTGCCGAAGACGCTCCGGCCTCGTCCTGCCTGCGGACTTTGAGGTTCTCCACGGCGATCTCAGTCCGTCGCCGAACGTCTTCTCCAGGGTGACCGGCGGCAGGTAGGCGCTTGTATCCGACAGGAACGCCGGCTGCCACCTTTTTGCGATCTCAAGCGGTCGTGGGGGCGGCGTCATCGAGGATCTTCAGGCAGGCTTCGAGGATCCGATCCACGGGCCTGTAGGTCTCACGGGCCTTGATGTCGGCGGCCAGGGCCTGGGCGCGCTCGGCCATGTCGTTGTCGGCGGCTGTCTGCTCCAGTATCGCCGGCAGGGCATCGTCCAGGTCCTTGTTCTGGAGCAACCGCCCGACGCCAAGATCGACAAGGGCGTCGCTGCTGAGGCGTGCCTCCATATGGGTCGGTAACGTTACCTGGGGCCGCCCGCCACTCAGCGCCGCGCAGCAGGTGCCGTTGCCGCCGTGGTGGATGATCAGGCTGGCCCGCTGGAGCACCTCGGCCATGGGCTGGGGCTCGCGATGCACGGTAAGGCCCGGCCGGCTGAGGGAGTTGGCGATGTCGTCGGTCATGCCGCGGGCGAAGATCTCACCCGGTAACCTGCTGGCGCGAAGACCACGCAGAAAGGGCTTGGTCTTTTTGTGTTCAAGACTGACGTAGGCAAAGAAGTGCGGATTGGCGGGCAGGGGCCGTGGTTCCTGCAAGCCCTCGACAGGGCCGATCACCGGGTCCCGGCGATGCGCGGCGTAGGGGTCCAGTTCCGGCAGTGTGCAGACCATCCGACCCGCCGTCCGGAAAGGTTCGGTCACGCTGCGGGGTACTGGCCGGCGATTGTGCTCCTGAACGTACTGCATCACGTTCAGCACGTGCTGCGGGTCGACCATGGGCTTGCGGCCCGGGCGGAAGGGCGGAAAGTGATCGTCCTGCGCGGGCGGCAGGGTAAAGCCGTCTGCCACCTGGACAACGGGCCATTCCTGAAAACATGCGAGAACGCAGATCGGGCTGTGGTCGCAGATCACCAGGTCGGGGCGCACCTGTTCCAGCAGGCCGCGCCATGCCAGCATGCCGGCATGGAGGCTTTGGCGGCGGAAAAACCCGGAGTGACACATGATGTCGAGGTAGCTGCCGAGGCGCGCGGGTTTGGGGGCGCCGGCGATGCGCCCGACCATGTCGGGCACCGGAAGAATCGGGCGCTTCTCCCTTGCCAGCAGGACGGCGTTCTCCTTGATGTTGCGCAGGAAAAAGACGGCCTCATGGCCGCGGGCTTCCAGCGCTCTCACAAGCGGCATCAGGCGGTGCACGTGCCCATGCCCCGCCCCCAGTTCGTAGCCGACGAGAATCTTTGCCATCTTCCCCTAGCGCCTTTGTTGAGACTGCGGCAGCATCCGGCTCTCAGCGACCGCCCAGGACACTCTCGCAGGTCTCGATGATCCGCTCCATCGGGCGAAACGGCCCCACGTCTCTGATCTCTTCGGCAATGATCCGCGCGCGCTCGGCCTTTCTCGGGTCGGCGACGGTTTCGTCCAGGATCTCCTGGCCGCTCTCCTCGAGTTCCTTGCCGGTGGCCATGCGGCCCACGCCGATGCGCCCCAGGGCGCGGGCATTCAAGAGCGTTTCCTCATGGATGGGCAGGGCCAGTTGAATGCGGCCAGCACTGCACGACGCCAGGCACATGCCGCTGCCGCCGTGATGAACGGTCATGGTAGCGTCGCGCAGCATTTCATCGATGGGCTGCGGCGCTTTGTAGAAGGTCAGGCCCGGGCGGGCGTAGGTCTCGGCGGCTTCCTCGGTCATGCCGCGGATGTACGCCCGCGCCGGCAGCTTCGACGCCTTCAAGACTTCCAGGAACCGGGGGGTTATCCTTTGATCGATGCCCAGGTAGACAAAGAGCGATTGGGTCTTTGGCATCGGTGTGGGGGGCTGCAGGCCCTCGGTCGGACCGATCACCGGATCCTCGCGGAGGTCCTTGTAGGGGTCCAGCCCCATCAGGGTGCAGATCAGTCGTCCCGCGGTGCGCAGCGGCGCGGTCACGCAGGGCACCCTGGGGCCGCCCAGTCGTCCCTGCACATCGTTCATAACCGAGACCAGTTGGTCGGGATCGACCGTGACCTTTTTCTTCGCGCGAAACGGCGGGAAGACGTCGTCCTGCGCCGGCGGAATGGTGAACCCATCGCCGATCTGCACCACCGGGATGCGGCCGTAGGCGGCAAAGCAGGTCACCGGGCTATGGTCGCAGACGATGAGATCCGGGCGCAGCTGATCGAACAGGGTCCGCCAGGCCAGTGTCGCCGTGAACAGCGTCTCCAGCCGGCCGAAACCGCAGTAGACCATGATATCGCTGTAGCTGCCCATCCGCTTGGGTTCGCGCTCCGCAGGGTTGGGCGGCACGAGGTCGGGTGTCGGAATGAAAGGGAAGGGGTTCTTGGTGATCTGCGCCCTGCAGTCATAGGGGTTACGCAGGAAGAAAGTGACCTGATGCCCCCGCGCGGCCAGGGCCTCCGCCACCGGCAGCAGCCGGCGGTAGTGCCCCACACTGTCACCGCGTTCGTATCCAACGAGTACTCTTGCCAAGGTTCAGTCCTTGCCGCTGGGCCGGGACCTCGATCCGGGTACCAGTCCCCTGTTGCGTCCTACAAGGCGGTTGATAAAGCGTTCCAATCGGGTCTCGCAACCCGGAATCCGGAGTATGCCATTTGCCGAAGCTATCGAGACCCTGCTGCGCCCGTGGTTCGCCGGACCGCCGGAAAGGCGCTCTCCCGCCTGGCTTCTAGCGCCCTGCAGGCTTACCGGAGGGTTTAGCCCTCGAAGCCTTTTTCGCGGGCGCTTTCTTGGCCTTGCTCTTGCGCGCGGTCGAGCGGGTGCCGCCGGATTTGGCGGCCGCCTTGGTCTTGCCGTTCGATGCGGTCTTCGAGGACCCGCCCGAGGCTTTCTTCGCCGCAGGCTTCGTTCCACGGCTGCCCGAGGGCAGACGGAAGCTCGGCTTGCCGGGTTTGCCGCCCGGCTGTGGGCGTTTCCCGGCCACCAGATTGTCGATCAGCTTGAGCTGCTCCTTCATGCACTTTTCAAGGTCGTAGTTCTGCAGAACCGTCGTCCGGGCCTTTTTGCGGATGGCCGCCATGCGGTCCTTGTGGTCCAGCACCTCGTCGACGCGGTTGGCGATGGCCTCGTGGTCGAAGAAGTCGAAGAGAAGGCCGTTGCTTCCATCCTTGATGACTTCCTGAACCGGCGGCGTTGCGGAGGCCACCAGGAGGCATTCGGCCGCCATGCTTTCCAGAACGGACCACGAGAGCACGAAGGGGAACGTCAGATAGACATGCACGCCGGAGACCTGAATGACGTTCAGGTAGGTGGAGTAGGGAACCCGGCCCAGAAAGAACACACGGCTGAGATCGAGATCGACCTCTTCCAGGGCCTTCTTGCGGTAGGTCTCGCCGTCGGGCAGCGGCCGCCCGTAGCTCACCTCGTCGCCGCCAATGATGATGATGCGGGCCTTCGGCCTTCGCCTCAGGATGATCTCGGCTGCGCGCATGAACTGCGGAAAGCCGCGATAGGGTTCCAGGTTGCGCACCACGTAGGTGATGACCTCTTCCCCCTGGCGCAGCGTCGTGACCTCGCCGTCGGTATTCTTGATCTCGATGGAGGCATCGGGGTTGCGCTTGCAGACGGCGGTGTCGATGCCATCGTGAACAACAGAGATCTTGTGCCGGAACTCGGCGGGATACTGCTCGAACTGCCAGAGGGTCGGGGTCATTCCGGCATCGGCGGACTCCAGCCCCATGAACTGGATGATGTTCTTGGTCCGGATGCGGCAGTGCGTGTCGAGACTGGCCGGATTCTCCGGATCGAAACCAACGTCGGCGCCGACGGCGTGGTAGTAGAACTCGAAGAACCCCAAGAGCGGTGTGTCGGGAAACACGTCCTTCAGGTACAGCGTCTCGCCCCAGCCGGGATGACCGATGATGATGTCGGGTACGAAGCCCTTGCTCTTCAGTTCCAGCGCCTTGCGGGCGACCTCCTGTCCGTGGAGGATGCCACGCTCAGCGTCTCGGATGTAGCGATGGGTCGAGGCGGCGGGCTCTCGGTTGGGCTTGTAGAGCACCTTGTGGATGTTCGAAAGCTCGATACCTTCCCGCTTGGTAATGAACACCACGGTATTGTCTTTGTCGGCGGCGAGCCGCTGGCAGATGTGCTTGTACTGCCCAGGCATGTTCTGATGGACGAAGAGGTATTTCATAGCTTGGGGCCTTCCCGTTGCCCGGTCTTGGGGGCGGCGCAGTCACTCTATACGGATCCCCGCCAGATTCGGCCAAGATGCTCAATTTTGCGTAAAGGCGCCGCGCCGGCCAGGAGCCGGCAAAAACGGCCGGAACGGACCCGGTCCCGGCTGCCGCCTCTGCAGCGGCGGCGGCGCCCGGCCAATTGGCGCGTTGCGCGCCGGCTGCGCGGGCACCGCCCCGACGACGCAATCCGACCTTCGCGGCCGCAGGCCGCGGCCCGGTCAAAGATTTGAGAGGGCGTCGTCCAAATCGTCACCCTTCGGCGCGTTGTCGAGCCTGTCCTTCTCGGCGACGCGGGCCTGGATCTGCTCCAAGGCCTTGGCCAGTTGCAGGGTCAGCTGCTTCAGGGAGCCGACCGGCATCAGCAGGTGACCGCTGGTGTGCGACTCAAGCTCTGCCTTGTCGTCTTTTCTACGAAGTTGCACCAGCTCGATACGAACCACGCCATTGGAAACGACGATGGAGCCTGTCCCATCAGCGAACAATTCGGTCATGAATATGCTTTCCTTCTATCAATCGCACTAAGTCGCGCCGTGCCGGTCGCGTGAAGAAAATGGCGGCTGCCGCAGCGGATTCTCCGCCGGCCCGATGGGCACCGCCCCCGCCGACCGATGTGGATAGCAGGCTTGCGGCCTTCGATCCAGCGCCCTCAGGCGTTGTGCCGCGAACGCCTAACGCGTGGCAGCGAGCAGGAGCTTGCCCAGGATGTCCAAAGACGCACGCCCGTCTTTCGGCAGGCCGCGGTCTCCCTGAAAGCGTTTGAGCGCCTGAACACGCGCTTCCTGGCTCTGTTGCTCCGCTCTGCGCTGGAGGTAGCCCAGGCTGACCAGAAGGCTGTCGATGGTGCGCAGGGGCACCATCGCCGCCTCGCTGCCCTGGCCGGGCGGCATTCCCTGGGCCCAGCGCGCGGAGGTGCCGGAGAGAGCCGAAGCCGCGTCGCGGCGTCCGCCGTCGGGATGGAAGAGGCTGAAGGAGAGCACTCCGGCCAGCGGTCCATCCTTGTCGGAACGCAGGTCGATGGCATGCAGCCCGATCGCGTAGAAGTCGCTGTCGGCGAAGAGGATGAGCGGCGAACCCGAGTCGCCCTGGATGACATTGCAGTCATGGGTGATCAGCCGGCCTCGCTGAATGAAGCCCCGGAAGGTGCAGCCCCAGCCGGCCGACATGACATGGGCCCGGTCGCGGCGGTAGCCCGCTTGTATGAGCAGGGCATCGCCGGCCTTGATCCGCGACATCATGAGGCTGTCCAGCTTCTTCATGCCGAGCCAGCCGGCCTTGCGTCCGATCGGCTTCTCAAGAGTGAGGATTGCCCAGTCGTGCAGTGCGGCACGAGCACTAACTGGATTGGCATACTCGTAGTTTTCGGCCCGGCGGTAGCTGGCCACCTTGGAATGCAGGATGAAGCGGTCGCGCTGATAGCCAGCGATGAAGTGCAGCTCGATGGGGCCGCGCCACCGCCCGGCCCGGGGGTCGAAGAGGCAGTGGGCAGCGGTGATAACATGCCGCTCGCTCACCAGAAATCCCGTGCAGTGACCGCGTCCCCCTGCGTTGACGCGACCGACGGCACTCCAGGGGTATTCCATTGCATTGATTTCGACCCGCCCGGCAGTGCGGATAGTGCCGTCGAGCGCGAAGGCCTGACCCGCCGTCAGACAGAGCAGAATGACGAACCCGATGGACTTGGCAGCGGCCCGCAGGTCCGCGAAGGGAGTCACCATGGAGGATCAGCCGGCCGCGATGCTGGCGATCAGCTTTTCACCGGAGATAGTCGAAGTCACCTGTCTCAACGCCTCGATCACTGTGGGGTCATAGCGGCTGGAATTCTCCTGCAGAATATCCAGCACCGCGTCGGGTGCAAGGCCCGCGCGGTAGGACCGCGGCTCCACCCTTGCGCAGAAGACATCGCAAGTCCCCAGAATTCGGGCGGTTCGACGGATTGCCTCGCCGGCTAACCCTTTTGGGTAGCCCTTGCCATCAAGGCGCTCGTGCATTTGGGCAATGGTTTCAACGACCGGCAGCTCGAAATCGATCCCGCCGAGAAGCTGAACCGCATGCTCGACATGGGTTTCCATCTGGCGGATTTCCTCCTCCGTCAGACGGGCCGGTTTGGTCAGCAGTTCCTCCGGGACGGCGAGCTTGCCGATCTGGGAGAGATTGGCCGCGAGCTCCAGCGTCGTCAGGTCGTCCTCGCTGCAGCCGAGCTGTTTGCCGACGGCCACCGCGAAGTCCGCGACGCGCCGGGAGTGCCCGGCCAGGTAGGGGTCGCGCAGCTCGATCGCGCGCACCAGGGCGGTGACCATCTGCTGGATGGCACGTTCCTTCTTCTCTTGCTGCTCGACCAGTTCGGTGACATCGCGTGACACCGACACAAGGCCCGGAGCAGCGCCCTCGGCATCGCGGAAGGGTACCTTTGAGATCTGCAGATAGCGCTTCGTCGAGTCGAGGTAGATCTCTTCGTTTGTGGTGACGGCCGTGTCTTCATCGAGGGCGCGCCGGTCGGTAAGCGCCAGCCGCTTGGCGGTACCGCGTCCGAAAACCGCGGCATCGTCCAGTCCGATCATGCTTTGCTGACTGCGGCCCGCCGCCGAGGCGAAGGCCGGGTTCACATAGCGGTAGGTCCCGTCGGGTGCCTTCAGAGCAATGTGCTCCGAGATCGTACCGTTGATGCTTTCCATGAGCTGCTTCTGGGCCTGAATGCGCCCGGCAAGGTCGCGATACTGCACGGCCAGCGTCTCGTTGTGATGGCTCGACAGACGCCACCAAAAAGCGCCGAAGGCAGCAGCGGCCACGAGGACCACCAGGCCGGCAACCAGGACGGCCGCGATGGAGAAGGTGGCAAGGGGCCGCTCGGCGACGGTGACCTCCAGTTCCTCCACAATCCACCATATGGGGCCGGAGACCATGGCGCCTGCGGAATAGACCTGAATCGGTTTGGTGAGGGAAGGACGCTCCGCGAAAGGCACCTCGCCGGCCGCCAGGTCGAAGCCGTCCAAGGTTACCGCCTTGACCGGCTCGGCGGCGCCGGGGGCGATGCGGGCCAAGGCGCCGTCGTCCAACTGGATGAGCACGCGCCGCGTGCCCGGGCTGGCGAGCGGGTCGACGGAGAGGATGTCCGACAGCCCGGCGGTCAGCGGCACGACCAGCACCAGGGCGGCAACGGGCCTGGCTTCGCCGGGTTCTACCTGTGCGGCGAAGACCGGCATGACCATGTCGAGCACGAGGCCCGCCGGCAAGCTCCGGGCCGGCCCGAAAACCGTCTGTCCGCGCTCGAAGCTCTGCAGCGCCAGCGCGCGCTGTTCGGCGCCAAAGCTCGCCGAGCCGCTGGAAGCGACAAAGGCATCGCCGTTGCGGCCGACCAGGTAGGCGGCCAGGAAGTCGGCGTTTGCCGCGAAGTCGCTGATCACCCGTTCGATGAAGGGGAGTTGTTCGACCAGCGGTACACCGAGCCCGCCGTCTTCGCCGCTCTGCGGGGCGACCATGCGCGACATGTCGCCGTCGGCCAGGTCCATCTCGGCGGAAAAAAGCCGGATGAGCTCGCTTTCGACGACCGGCTGGGCGAGGCGCCGGGTTCCCTGAAGCCAGGTGGAAAGCACCTCGGCCTGGCCGCCGGCGGTCAGCTGCAGGCGCTCGGCCACCTGTTCGATAAGCTGGTCCCGCTTGGCCTCTATGGTCAGGCGCGGCACCAGGATGGCCGCCACAACGAAAACTGCCAGCACAATGCCGCCCCAGAGCAGCATGCGCCACCGACCCGGAGGCGCCGGTCTGGCATCGAGCGCCGGGAATTCCAGCGGATCAGCCGTTTCAGGACCTGAATTCGTCATAAACGGCTTATCTCATAGAGGAATTAACGAATATTTACAAAGCGGCGGTGCGTTTCTTGTCGTAGAAGTGCGCCCAGCGCGTGGTCTCGTTCATGGAGTACTGGGGCAGGTAGTGCCGGTACTTCTTGTGGGAGAAGATCAGGTCGCTGAGGCTGTCCAGGACCAGGATGTCATCGGGCTGGTAGACCGCCAGAACCGCATGGCCGATACGCCGGATCCGGTCCATCAGAATGACCACCCGCAATTCCTCGTTGGAAAGGCCGAGGTCCCGCAGCACGAAGAACTTCGCGATGGAATAGTCCTCGCAGTCCCCGGAGCGCTTCATGAACTCCTTGGGGCTCGCCCAGAACTCGCTGACGCCATAGAGCTCCTGGTCGATCTTGTAGGGCCAGCGGTTGAAGTATTGATTGACGGTCTTCAGCATCTCCAGGCGGGGCCGGCCCTTGGCGGCGGTGGCAACCTCCCGCCAGGATTTCAGGCCGGCCGAGGTACAGGCGGCCGCGCTGTTCAGGCAGGCATGGAAGCTGCTGCGCTCCTGCTCCATTTTCGAGAGCACCCGGGCCCATTGCGGCAGCGCCTTCAGATTGGCCGAAGAAATCTCGGTGGAGCCGAAGAGGCCTTTGCCGCGGTTGCGGCTGGACTTCAGAAAATCACCCAGGGACTGCGCCGCCGCCGGGTTCGCCACGGCCTCGATCGCGGCGCCGCCGAGGGCGGTGCCGAGCACGACTGCGGACGAACGAAGGAAGGCGCGGCGATCCAACTGCAGGCTCCCTCGGGGTCTGTGACCCGCGCGGACGCACGGGTGTCAGATGCACAGGTGTCGTGGGCTTTGAAGCCGCTTCAAAGCCTTGCCCTTTGAGGATCGCTGCTTTGGTTTAAGGGAAGTTTTCGAAAGATGGTTTACGCGAGTCACGGCCCGGTGAGGCGGATACCGGGCGTTTTTGCCGCAAATGCGGGCTATCCGGTCGGGCGGAATGGTAAACGCAGCAAAAAGCGCCGCCACCGGAGCGGCGGCGGCGCCGAGCCGAAAACTTGAGCCGGGCCGAAAACTTGAGCCGGGCCGGAAGCCTAAGCCGGGTCTAGCGTTCGCGGAGCGCCGAGCCCTGGGCCTTGAGAATGGGCTTCATGAGGTAATCCAGAACGGACTTCTCTCCGGTCAGGATCTCTGCCGTCACGGTCATGCCGGGAATGATCGGCAGGGTCTCGCCGTTGCGCTCCAGGTGGCTTTCCTCGGTGCGCAGATAGACACGGTAGAAGCTCTCGCCCTGTTCGTCCTTGATGGTATCGGCGGAGATCCGTTCCAGGCTGGCGGTCAGTCCGCCATAGATGGAGAAATCGTAGGCCGAGACCTTGATGATGGATTCCTGTCCCGGACGCAGGAACGCGATATCGGCCGGGCGAACCTGGGCCTCGACCAGAAGCGTGTCGTCAAGCGGCACGATCTCCATGATGTCCTCGCCCGGCTGGATGACGCCGCCGACCGTTGTGCGCTTCAGGTTCTTGACCGTGCCGCGCACGCGCGACCGCACGGCGGTTCGGGTGACCCGGTCCTGGCCGGCGAAGAGCGACTGGGAGATCGACTTCAGTTCGGCACGGATCCGGTTCAACTCGTCGGAGGTTTCCGTCTGCGTCGTCAGGACCATCTCGTCGATGCGCTGCTCGGCCTCTTTCTGGGCCGACTGCAGGCGCGGAATGGCGGTTCGGATGGTGCGGATCTCGCCCTCCAGGTCGGCGACCTGGCGGTCGATGCGGATCAGCTCGATGCGGGGCATGATGCCCTTCTGCACCAGCGGCGCGGTGATGGCCTGTTCCTCCCGCGCCAGGCGCAGGCTCTGCTCCAGCTGGCGGCGGCGGCTGCCCATCTCGGCGACTTCCTGCTTGCGCTGGCTGGCCTGGGATTCGAGCACCGAAACCTGGGCGGCGAGCTGACGCTTGCGCGCGTTGAAGAGGCGCCTCTGGTCGGCAACCACGATGGGCGCCTCGTCGGAGACCGACTGCGGGAACTCGACCGCTTCCTGCTGCTCGAGCTCGGCGATCAGACGGGCCTCGGTCGCCTGCAGGCTGAGGTACTGGGACCGGGCGTCTTCCAGGTTCGCGGTGGCGATGGTGTTCTCGATCCGCACCAGAACGTCGCCGGCCTCTACGATATCGCCCTCGCGGACCAGGATTTCCGAGAGGATGCCGCCTTCCAGGTTCTGGATGACCTGGGTCTTGGAGGAGGGGATGATGGTCCCCTCGCCGCGGGTGACCTCGTCCAGAACCGCATAGTGGGCCCAGACGCCCATGACGATGAAGAAGATAACCGAGATGACCGTCAGGATGTAGGCGAAGCGCCGCCCGCGGTCCCGGGCGGCGGCATGGACATCCGGCATGAAGTCGAGATCGTCACGATCGAAGACGCCTTGAGAGCTCATTTTCACTCAGTCCTTGGTTTCCGGACCCCAGCCCTCCCCGATGGTTCGGAAGAGATGCGCCAGGATCTTCTAAGCTTGGCCCAAATGCACGGCCTTGTCATTGATCTGGGTCGGACCATCGATCGGTCGGGGCTGTGCCGCGACGCCTGATGCCCGCTCAGCTGCTGCTGGCCCGGATCTGGCCCTGGCGCAGCGCCCGCAGTACCTCGTCTTTCGGGCCGTCCGCGACGATTTTGCCGTTGTCGATGATCAACAGGCGGTCGACCAGGGTCAGCAGGGAGCTGCGGTGTGTTACCAGGAAAAGAGTCTTGCCCGGCAGCATGCCCTCCAGGCGCCGTTTGAAGGCGGCCTCCGAGGAGTTGTCCATATGGCTCGTCGGCTCGTCCAGCAGGATGATCGGCGGGTCCAGAAGCATGGAGCGCGCGATGGCGACGGACTGGCGCTGACCGCCTGAAAGCGCCATGCCACGCTCGCCCACCGGCAGGTCAAAGCCCAGCGGGTGGGTGCGCAGGAAGTCGCTCACCCCGGCGAGTTCGGCCGCGCGCAGGATCGTTTCGTCGTCCACATGAGGGGCGCCGAAGCAGATGTTGTCGCGCACCGAGCCGAAGAACAGGTAGTTGTCCTGCGAGACATAACCGACGTTGCGGCGCAGGTCGGCCGGATCGACCTGCCGGATGTCGGTCCCGTCCATGAGGATCGCGCCGTCCATCGGCTCATAGAGGCCGACCATCATGCGCGAAACCGTGCTCTTGCCGGAGCCGATGCGGCCGAGCATGCCGACCCTCTCACCGGGTTTGATCTTGAAGGAGAGGCTGTCGAGCGCCTTTGTCTCCTGGCCCGGATAGCTGAAGGTCACCTGCTTGAACTCGATCTGGCCGCTCAGCCGCGGACGGTGCAGGAAGCGCTTGTTTTGCGCGCGCTCCGCCGGCGCCTTCATCACATCGTCGAGTGACCGCAGGGCGACCCTGGACTGCTGCAGGCGCGTCAGCATGGCCGCCACCGCACCCAGGGGGGCCAGCGCGCGGCCGGTCAGGATGGTGGCGGCGATCAACGCGCCCATGGTGATGTTGCCCTCGGCGATCTGGTACACGCCGAAGACAATCACGATCACTGTCGACATCTGAATGGCGATCTGGGCGAAGGTGGTGGCCAGGCCGGAGATAAAACGTGCCTGGCCCGAAGATTCGGCGGAGAGCCCCACGAAGCGCTCCCAAGAGCGCTGGACGCGGCCCTCGGCGGCGGTGGCCTTGATGGTTTCCAGGCCGTCGATGGTCTCGACCAGAAGGGCGTGCTTCTGGCTCGCTTCGCGCTGGCTCTTCTCCATCACGTTGCGCAGGGGGAACTGCAGGAACAGCCCGACGCAGATAACCAGCGGCACCATGGCCAGCGGGACGAAGGCGACCGGGCCGGCGACGATATAGATCACACCGATGAACAGGAAGATGAAGGGCAGGTCGACCAGCGCCACCAGCGTTCCCGAGGTGAAGAACTCGCGCAGCGATTCGAATTCCCGCAAGTTGTTGGCCATCGCTCCGGTCGATGCCGGCTTGGAGTCGAGCCGGGTCGACATCAACTGTTCCAGCAGCCGGCTGGCGATGATGACGTCTGCGTTCTTGCCGGCGATGTCGACGAAGTAGGTGCGCAGGTTGCGCATCACGAATTCGAAGCCGAAGACCGTGAGCACGCCGATTGCCAGCACCCAGAGCGTTTCGATCGCCTGGTTGGGCACCACGCGGTCGTAAACATTCATAATGAAGAGCGGGCTGGCGATGGCGAAGCAGTTGATCAGCAGCGAAGCCAGAACCACGTGGCTGTAGATCGGCCAGAACTGGGCCAGTGTTCCCCAGAACCAGGCCCGCGGCTCCGACAGCTTGCGTTCCGGCGCCCGCTCGTCGAAGCGCGCCTCGGTGCGCGCGAAGATGGCGTAGCCGGTGAACTGCTCCTGCAGTGCACGCATATCCAAAGACTTCGAGGTGCCCCCGGCCTCGGGCAGCAGCACGTCTGCCTGGCCGTTGGCGAGTTCGATCAGCACGCAGCAGTTCCCGCCTTTCAGCAGAAGGATGCACGGCAGGGTTACGGGCAGGATCTTCGAGAGCTGGGGCCGACGCACCACCCGGGCGGAGAGGCCGGCGCGTTCGGCGGAGCGGACCGCCAGTTCCGGCGTGAAGGCCTCCTGGGCATGGGGCAGCCCCGCTTTCAGGGCCTCAACGGAAATCGGCCGCTGCAGGAGGCCGGCGAGAAGGGAAAGCGAGCGGACCAGCGGATCCTCGAAGTCGACCGAGGACGGTGCGATCGCCCAGTCCTTGTCGGACGCATCTTCGATCACGTCCTTGGCTCGCAGCGTCACGCCAAGGCCGGCGCCCTTGATGTCTTCCTGTGCCGCAGCTTCGGATTCGGCAAGACTGTCGCCCTCGGGGGCGCCGCGATCCTTATTAAGTGCCTCACTCACGTCAGCTGTATCCTTGCTCTCGGCAGTTCCTTCGTCGGACTGCACACCCTTGATCAAACTCGTGCTGCCGTCCTCGGAGGGCTCCGGGGCTTCGGCATCCTGTGCAGGCGCTGCCGGATCCACGTCCGCCGAAGTCGGCGGCAGCTTCAGGTCCGGCTCTCTGGCGTCCTTCTCCCCCTTGGAGGGGCAGACGCCGGTCTTCAGGTCCGGCTCGGTGGCCGGATTCTCGCGTCCGAAGGTCAGGTCCGGGTCCGGTGGCCAAGCCTCGGAACCGGCCGCACCCTTACCGGACTTCAAACCGCTGGGGGGAGCCTTGCGCTTTGCCGTCGTGTCATCGCGGGCGGCCATGCTGTGACTACTGTTCCCCCGTCAACCTTGTCCGTTCCGGCGCTTTGGCTTGCTCGCCTCGCGGCGCTGAGCAATGGGCTGCGGTGGCGTGCCGGCCCACTGTTCTCACTCCAAGAACGATCAATCCCAAAGCTTCACTATAGTTGTTACGAATTCGCAAAGAGCCCGGGTTCAGGATGCCTGAAAACTCTTGGAAAAATTATCTTCGCTTCATTCGCAGAGGGTTAATAGCATACTTTGCCCGCAGGGCCAGTGGTTTGACTCGGACGGATTCATGACACTGTTCCATTGGCTTCGATCAGCCTTTGTTTCGGCGCTTTCCCGGCTTGGCCTCGTGTCGTCGCCTCAAGTTCAAGGACTATGGTCCTAGTTGGGCGCGTCTGATAAGGCCTGCACGGGACGCTGCGCCTGGAAACCCTATGGCCGCCTTCTGGGGGCGACTGTGCGAAATACCACAGTATTGGCCAGTAATGCGCACGGTCCGGTTGGCCGAAAGGCAAGTATTCCACTCCTGAGTTCATACGACCAGACGGGAAACTGAAAATGTGGGTCGATGGCGTTGAGCCTGAGGTTCATGGCGAGTGCCCTTTTCCCGGCAAGCCCGCGCGATCAGGCGCTTAAGCGGGGGTGGAGCAGGGATGGGGACAGAGGGCGGGCGGGGGATCGAGGCCGTGATCGGCGCACCAGCCTCATGGTGGCCAGAGGGGGGCATACCTCCTTTGAGGTGGTGCCGGGGCGACAGTGACGGATTGACAGAATCCGGAACCGGGCCTTATCCGCATGCTGCCTGAAGGGTGTCGGCGGTGTTTGTCACCCCTACAGCCGGATTTGTACCTGATGACAGTTGGTTGGAATCTGATCCTGAGAACTTGCGGTAGTGACATGAAAGCCGGACTGTGGTTAAAATGTCACAGTGTGGCAGATCAGACGATCAATCGCCGATTAACCCTGTTTGGGCTTGAGAGCGCTCGTTGACAGTCAAACTGGAAACAGGTTACAAGTCGCGAATATTTCGAGAATTGTTTGCCTTTCGTCCATCTCCGGACGGTGAGGTCCGACACGGGGGAGAGGTATTAGATGCAAGGTTTTAAGTCGGGGGAAGCTAGCATGCGCTGGTCTCGCAGTGTGAGTTTGACGAGTTTCAAGGCGGCGCTCTTGGGTGGCGCCATGGCATTTCCGTTGGCGATCTCGGCGAATGCCATGTCGCTGCAGGAAGCCGTAGAGCAGGCGATTGCCACAAATCCGGATATTGGCGTTGTCGCCAGCAATCGTGAAGCGGTCGATCAGGAGTTGCGCCAGGCGCGCGGACTGTACCTGCCGCAGATCGACTTTGCGGCCGGCATCGGTATCGAGAATTTCAATGATTCTACCTCCCGGGCCAATAACAACGGCGGCACCGAGACGACGAACCGGCGGGAGACCTCGCTGACGCTTCAGCAGCGGCTGTTCGATGGTTTCGAAGCCGGAGCGACGGTTGAGCGCGAGCAGGCGCGTGTCGAGTCCGCGGCCAATCGGGTTTTTGAAAACTCCGCGGTTCTGGCGCTGGACGCGATCGGCGCCTACCTCGAGGTGCTGCGCCAGCGCGATCTGGTGAAGCTGGCCGAGGAAAACGTTGCTTATCACCAGCAGGTGCTTGCCGCACAGCGTGAGCGGCTGCGTGGCGGCGGCGGCAGTGAAGCCGACGTGAACCAAACCGAGGCGCGTACCGCCCGGGCGGACAACACCCTGATTGAAACCCTGAACGATCTGCGGGACGCCGAGGCGATTTTCACCCGGATCGTCGGGTCCTTCCCGGGCAACGATCTCACCTATCCGGAGTTCCCTGGCGGTTCACTGCCCGAGAACCTGGACGATGCGGTCCAGCTGGCCGTTCGCAACAACAACACCACCAAGATTTTCGAGGCCGACGTACGCACGGCGGAAGCCGAGGTCGAGCTGTCCGAGGTCCCGTTCTATCCAGCCATCTCGCTGGAAGCTCAGTCCGAGTACAACGACGGCACCTCAGCGTTGGACACGTACGAATTCAACAACCAGCTCATGGTACGCGTACGCTGGAACCTGTTCCGCGGTGGCATCGACCGGGCAGCCCGCCAGGAGGCGCTTTTCCGCCTGACGGAGAGCAAGAACCGGCGTTTCCAGTCGGTGTTGGAATCTCAGCAGGAAATGCGGACTTCCTGGTTCGCGTTGGAAGCGGCCCGCGACAGCATCGAGGCGCTGGAAACAGCCCGCGACTTCAACCGCTCGACACTGGATGCGTACGAGCAGCAGTTTGAGGTTGCGCAGCGGACCCTGCTGGACGTTCTTGACGCCGAAAACGAACTCTTCGTCTCGGAAGGCCAGTTGGTGACGGCTCAGACCAACGAGCAGCTCGCGTCTTACCGTGTTCTGGGTGTTGGCGGCGTGCTGTTGGAGACCCTGGGCGTCTCAGCGCCTGAGCAGGCGGTCGTCGAGCAGAAGTCCTGGGCCGAGGGCCTCGTCGACTAGAAGCCCGGCACCCGTCGCGTTGCGGCGGGACGCGCCACAAGAGGTACGGCCCCTCCAGATGGAGGGGCCGTTTCTTTTTGGGCGCCCAGGCCCTGGGCCGCTGACTGCACCAATCGGCGCAGCCTGTTCAGTGGTGGACCGCTCTCGGGCCTGGTGCAGACCGAATATAGGTATTTTATCCTAGAACTGCCGCCTTCGCGGGCCGGAATGGTTGTCCTTTGTCTGCGGAAGATCTATTTTGGTTGGTCAGAAGTACGGAAACTGGGCCAAAGGGCGGCCTTTGCGGGATGGACGACAACAAGTCAGCTGTGGATCTGCCACAGGCTCCGGTCAGCGCCGAGGAAGCGCCTGAGCAGAGCTTGGTGCTGGACGTCGACCAGGATCGTCTGCCGCTGGTGATCGTGGAGCCTGGTGCGCCGTCGCCGGCAGACGACCTGAGCGCCGACTCCGTCTTGCTGGAGCTCGACGACCTGCTGCCCGACCCGGACGGAGAGGTGGTGCTGTTCACAGGCGAGGACGTGGCTGTGAACATTCTGACCTCGGAGACCATCACCCAGTTTGGCGTTGCAGAGGAGCACGTCACCGCAACCGGGGTCGATGTCACGGGTCTCAACTTCTACAGCTTCGAAGGCGGGCTGACAGTCTACAGCGCTAGCGACGTGCTGATCATCAACGACCCCAACATCACCTGACTTAGCCGTTGTTCCGCTGCCGGGACCGCGTGGCCGCTGTTTTCCGTTCCACGGCCAGGTAAGCCCGCGGGGCCTTCAGTCCTGAGAAGCCCTCAGCGGCGGCGCGGGTGCCGCCCCGGGCATTCCCGGACGCTTGGCCTGGGTTGACAGCCACATCACCGCATAGAATTCCTGGTAGGTCTGGGACCGCAGGGCCAGGATCGTCGCCTGCGCGGCGTTCACCCGCCCCGGGGCCACATAGAGCAGCTTGGCGTCGGTCTTCGCCTCGCGGCCGCTGATCATGTCTTGCCAGACCTCGGTCAGCGACCGGCGGGTCCGGACCTGAACCAGACTGGTCAGCTCCGCGCCGATGACCGCGACGTCCATCGGCCCCAACCACTCACCGAAGGCGCTGTTGTAGGCGATCACCGTGCGATACCGGGAAAGAATGAGGCCAGGGTTCGGACAGTTGGTCACGACGTCGAGCAGGCCGTGGTGGGTCGGTCCCAGGGTTTCCCGCGCCAGCGCCTGCTCACCCTCGAGCATGCAGAAGACCCGCAGATAGGATGAGAAGTTGGGCCCCTCATAGCCCTCGGCCAGCTCCGCGACGAAGCGGCCCAGGCGCAGACGGTTGCGCTCCGCCAGAACCTCCAGGGTCTGCCAGTAGATCGGTTCCAGCCGGACCGAGTAGCGCTTGTTACGGTACTGGACGATGCGCGGCTTGGGGGCCTGGTTGCCGAAGGTCTTGGGTGCGGGGATCTGCAAGGTTTCGGTCTGGTTGGTCTCAGAACATGGCTGAGCACTCATACATAAATATGGGCCAATCCGCAAGCCGGCGCGGCGTTCATGGGGGTGTTCATGCGGGCGTTCGAGAGCACCACCGGATACGGGGCCGGCAGTCTCTCACCGGCAGTCTGTCACCGGCGGTCTCTCAGAAGTGGAAAGGTGAAGCGTTCGGAAAGGTTCCGCCTGCGGTCGGCACCCTTCAGGGCAGCATGATGTCCTCGTGCTCGGCCACGATACCGCTCAGATCGGAGAGTTTGCTGCGCAGTTTGTAGCGTCGCGCCAGCTTGTCCTGGGCGGCAGCCGGCAGGTCGGTGAGCATGAAGACCCTTTTGTCGATCAGGACAGCGATGATGTCCTCGATGACGCGGATGAACTCGAGGTCAGAGGCTTCCAGTTCCTCGCGGATTCTCGTTTGCCCGAGACCGTCGCTGAGAAAGGACACCAGTTCCGGATCGTCGAGAGCGACCTGCTCGTAGGCCATCTCGGTCTCGCGTTCCTGGACTTCGGTGATCTGTCCGTGATCGTCTCGCGCCACGTAGGGCATGGCCGTGCTCCTTCCTCTGCGCGCTAGGCTATTCAGCCAGTGGTTAACATTGGGTAAGCAATGGCGCCGGAGGACAGCGAAAGGCCTAAGATTCCTTGCTTTTTGCTTGCCGAGGTCCGCACATTGGCGAAACTACGTTCATCCTGCCACAGGCCGATTCGCCCGAGCCATGCCGCTCATCGTCAGCAAAGCCAACACCAGGGACCCTGAGTTCGCGGAGAACCAGCGGATTAACCGGCAACTCGTCGCCGATCTGCGCGCCGAGGTCGAAAAGATCAAAGGCGGCGGCGGCGAGCGCGCCCGCGTGCGTCATCTGGAACGGGGAAAGCTCCTGCCGCGCGAGCGGGTGCGCTGCCTTCTGGACAGCGGCTCGCCTTTCCTCGAGCTTTCGCAACTGGCCGCCCACGACCTGTATGACGGCGAGGTGCCGGCCGCCGGGTTGATTACCGGCATTGGCCGCGTGTCGGGACGCGAGTGCCTGATCGTAGCCAACGACGCCACTGTCAAGGGCGGGACTTACTATCCGCTCACCGTAAAGAAACACCTCCGTGCGCAGGAGATCGCCGAACAGAACCACTTGCCGTGCATCTATCTTGTCGATTCCGGCGGCGCCAACCTGCCCAATCAGGACCAGGTGTTTCCGGACCGCGATCACTTCGGCCGGATCTTCTTCAACCAGGCCAACATGTCGGCCAAAGGGATACCCCAGATCGCGGCGGTCATGGGCTCCTGCACCGCGGGGGGCGCCTATGTTCCGGCGATGGCGGACGAGAGCATCATCGTGAAAGGGCAGGGCACCATCTTCCTGGGAGGACCACCGCTGGTGAAAGCGGCGACCGGCGAAGTCGTCTCGGCGGAGGAACTCGGCGGAGCCGAGGTGCACACCCGGACCTCGGGCGTTACCGATCACTACGCCGAGAACGACAGCCACGCCCTGGCGATCGCGCGCCGGATCGTGGCGACCCTGAACCGTCCGAAGTCGCAGCCGCTTGAGGTGCTGGAATCGCGCGAGCCGCACTACGACCCGGCCGAACTCTATGGTCTCGTCCCGCCCGACCTCCGCCAGCCTTATGATGTACGCGAGGTGATCGCCCGTCTGGTCGATGCCAGCGAGTTTGACGAGTTCAAAGCCCTTTACGGCCAAAGCCTGGTGTGCGGCTTCGCCCATATCTGCGGCTACCCTGTCGGCATTCTTGCCAACAACGGAATTCTGTTTTCGGAATCCGCCCTGAAGGGGGCGCATTTCATCGAACTCTGCACCCAACGCGGCATCCCGCTGGTGTTCCTGCAGAACATCACCGGCTTCATGGTCGGAAAGAAGTACGAGGCCGGGGGCATCGCCAAGGACGGCGCGAAGCTTGTGACCGCCGTCGCTTGTGCGAAGGTGCCGAAGTTCACGGTCATTCTGGGGGGCAGCTTCGGTGCCGGAAACTACGGCATGTGCGGGCGCGCCTACGGCCCCCGTTTCCTTTGGATGTGGCCGAACGCGAGGATCTCCGTCATGGGGGGCGAGCAGGCCGCGACGGTTATGGCAACGCTGCGCCGCGATGCGGTTGAGGCAAAGGGCCAGTCCTGGAGCGAGGCGGACGAAGAAGCCTACAAAGCGCCGATCCGCGACCAGTACGAACTCCAGGGCCATCCCTACTATGCGACGGCCCGCCTTTGGGACGACGGGATCATCGACCCGCTCGACACGCGCATGGCCCTCGGGCTGGGCATTTCGGCTGCGCTGAATGCGCCGCCTGAGCCGACGCGCTTTGGCGTCTTCAGGATGTGAGGCGATGACGGCACCCTTTTTCGTCGAGGAGATCGACAGCCGCGGGGTGGCGCGGATCACGCTGACCCGTGCCGATCAGCACAACGTGTTCAACGACGTGCTGATCGGGGAGCTGACCACCGCCCTTGCGGGGCTGGAACAGGACGGGCGCGTTAGGCTGGTGATCCTGGCCGCCCAGGGGCGCAGCTTCTCGGCCGGGGCCGATCTCAACTGGATGAAGGCGATGGCCGGCTACTCCGAGGCGGAGAACCGGGACGATGCCTTGCGCCTGGCCAAGCTGATGCAGACGCTGAACCGGCTTTCGAAGCCGACCCTGGCGCTGGTGCAGGGGCCGGCCTATGGCGGTGGCGTTGGCCTCGCGGCCTGCTGTGATATTGTGGTCGCTGCCGAGGCCGCAACCTTCTGCCTCTCCGAGGTGAAGCTGGGCCTGATTCCGGCTGTGATCAGCCCCTATGTCATAGCGGCCATCGGCGAGGCGGCGGCGCGCCGCTATTTCCTGACGGCCGAAGTCTTCTCGGCCTGGGAGGCCCAGCGCCTGGGGCTGGTTCACGAGGTTGTCGAGGCCGGCGCCCTGGAGCAGACAGGGCGACAGCTCGCTGCAAAGCTGCTGGACGGCGGGCCCATGGCCCAGGCGGCTGCGAAGGATCTTGTTTTCACGGTGACAGAGGCGAGGGACGACAGGCTGATCGACGATACCGCGGAGCGGATTGCCGCGGTGCGCGCCTCGGCGGAGGGCCGCGAAGGCGTCGCGGCCTTCCTGGAAAAGCGAAAGCCTGACTGGCGAGGGGACTGAAGCGGACGATGAAGAAGCCTGACCGCTATTGGTTGCCGGGCTTGGTTCTGACGCTCGGCCTCTACGTCCTGGTCTCGCTTTCGGTCTCAGAGACGGTCGACTTCTTCTTCCTGGTCATGCTCGGAACCCTGGTGTTCTGCGTGACGCTGTTTTATCGCCTCTTTCCCGGCAGCTACTTCACGACCATCGCCTTGGCGAACTTTCTGTCGGTCTATGCCTGCCTCTTTATCTTCTTCGTCGAGGCCAACTTCGGCGCGGCGGCCGATTGGGTGGTGCGGGTTTCCTTCGCCCTGCCGATACTCACATTCATGGCCGGGGTCTGGCTGCGCAGGGGCGCCATTCACCGCCTCGTGAACCATGAAGTCGACACCCGCATCCACTATGCGCCGCGCGTCTTCCTATGGCTCCTGCCGGTCATGGTGGTGGGGCTGGCGACTTTCCTGGTGCCGCACCAGGGCTTCAGCGCCCAGACCGTAGGGCTGCTGCTGCTCGCCAGCATGGGGCTGATTGCGGTCACGGTGATGGCCGTGTGCCGCGACGTCACCGCCTTTCTGCTTGAAACCGGGCTGCTGTTCGAAGACTTTTTCGCCCGCGCCAGCGCCCTCATGGCGCCGACCCTGGCTTTCTTCACCTACTATTCCTTTGTCGTCATCGTTTTTGCCGGAGTCTATCGGCTCGTCGGGCGTATCATCCCCGGCGATCATTTCATGCTGGCCGGAGAGCCGAGAACGATCAGTTTCATGGAAAGCCTCTACTTCTCGATCATCACGCTGAGTACCGTGGGATACGGCGACCTCGTGCCCGCAAGCCTGCTGGTGCGCGCCATCGCATCGCTGCAGATCGTGATCGGGGTATGGCTGATCATCTTCGGCTTTTCGGAAGTGCTGAGGTACACGCGCGAGCACCCGGCGCAGGGCCGCCGCGGCTAGCGCTGGGTTCAGGAACAGGCCGGCAGGATGCACGCGACGACCCACCTGAACGAGGTTCTGATCTTCCTGATAGCGGCGGTCTGCGTCGTGCCCCTGTTCCGCTGGGCACGATCCAGCTCCGTCCTGGGCTACCTGGCGGCCGGGGTTCTGGTCGGTCCTTCCGCGCTGGCCCTGGTGAAGGACCCGGACAGCGTCCAACTGCTGGGCGAGTTCGGCGTCATCTTTCTGCTCTTTGCGATCGGTCTCGAGCTTTCGGTCGAGCGCCTCAAGGTCATGCGCCGCCTCGTGTTCGGCCTCGGTGCCAGCCAGGTTACCCTGACGGCTGTGCTGGTCGGGATCGTCGCATTCTGGGCCGGACAGTCGGTCGAGGCGGCGCTGGTCATCGGCTTCGGGCTGGCGCTTTCCTCTACCGCTTTTGTCATTCAGATGCTGATCGAGCGCGGCGAACTCGCCTCGCGCTTCGGCCGAACCTCCTTTGCCGTCCTGCTGTTCCAGGATCTGGCCATCATTCCCTTGCTGGCGCTCCTTCCGCTGCTCAGCGGGCCCGACGCCAACATCCTGGAAGCCCTCGGTCTTGCGGCACTGAAGGCGGTCGGCGTGGTGATCGCGGCGATCGTCATCGGGCGGCGCATTCTGCGGCCGATCTACCGGGTCATCGCCGCCAGCAGACTGCAGGAACTCTTCGTCGCGGCAACCCTCCTGGTGGTGCTGGGCTCCGGCTGGCTGATGGCCCTGGGCGGAATTTCCATGGCGCTCGGCGCCTTTCTGGCCGGCCTGCTGCTGGCGGAGACCGAGTACCGCCATCAGGTCGATGCCGACATCAGGCCTTTCAAGGGCCTGTTGCTCGGTCTCTTCTTCATGGCCGTCGGCATGGCGATCGACATTCAGCAGTTGCTTCAGGACTGGCGCATCGTTGCCATCTGCCTCATTGCACTGTTGCTGGTGAAGAGCGTCGTCACGACCCTGTTGTGCCTGCTGTGGAAGCTGCCCGCCGACGTCGCCGTTCGGGCCGGAACCCTGCTGTCGCAGGCCGGTGAGTTTGGCTTCGTGCTGTTTGGCGGCGCCATGATCCAGGGGCTTCTCGACCGCGAGACGGGCCAGGTTCTGTTGGCGGTCATCGCCTTGTCGATGGCCGTGACGCCGGCTATGGGCTGGGCCGGAGGGCGGCTGTCGCGCGGGTTGGCGCCCAAGCCCAGCAGCGGCCAGGAGAGCCTGAAGCATGAAGTCGAGAGCGTCAGCGACCACGTCATCATCGCCGGCTTCGGCCGGGTCGGCCAGACGGTGGCGCGCGTGCTCTCCGCCTGCGGGGTGCCCTACGTTGCGCTGGATCTGGACCATGGCCGGGTGACCCACTATCGCGGCCGCGGGCTGCCTCTCTACTACGGGGATGCGACGCGGGTCGATGTCCTGGAAGCCGCCGGGGTGGAACATGCCCGCGCTGCCGTCATTACAGTGGACCGCTCCGCCGAAGCCAGCCGCGCGGTCGAGGCGCTGCACAGCCGCATGCCCGAACTGCCGATTTTCGTGCGGTCCCACGATCTGCGCCATGCCCAGGCGCTTGAGCAGGTCGGGGCCGTTGCGGTGGTGCCGGAGACCGTTGAGGCCAGCCTGCAACTGGGTGGTATTCTCCTGTCGTCCGTGGGTATCGGGGCCGACGATGTGACCCGCGTCATGAGAGACTTCAGGGCCGACAACTATGCCCGGCTGGAGGATCTGGACGCCAAGAATGCGGCCGGGACCGCGCAGAAATAGGAGTGGCTGGGGACGTGTTCGAGTCTGTACTGATCGCCAACCGCGGCGAGATTGCCTGTCGCATCATCCGTACGGCCCGGCGGCTTGGCCTGCGCTGCATTGCGGTCTATTCGGAGGCGGACGCCGCAGCCGCCCATGTCGACCTGGCTGACACGGCTCACTGCATCGGGCCGGCGCCGGCGGCGGAAAGCTATCTTCGGATCGAAGCGATCCTGGATGCGGCCAAGGCCGCCGGTGCCGAGGCCATTCACCCGGGATACGGGTTCCTGTCGGAAAACGCGGCCTTTGCCGAGGCTTGCCGGGAAGCGGGTATCGCCTTCATCGGTCCGCCGCCCGCGGCCATTCGCGCCATGGGCTCCAAGAGCGAGGCCAAGGCCTTGATGGAGGCGGCGGGCGTGCCGCTGGTTCCCGGCTATCATGGCGACGAGCAGGCGTCCGAGCCGCTGCTGCGCGAGGCCGAGGCGGTCGGTTTTCCGTTGATGATCAAGGCCTCGGCCGGGGGCGGGGGCAAGGGCATGCGCATCGTGGAGGCGGCGCAGGACTTCGCAGCCGGCCTCGACGCGGCCCGGCGCGAAGCCAAGGCCGCCTTCGGCGACGACAGGGTTCTTCTGGAACGCTACCTGGCCGCGCCGCGCCACATCGAGATCCAGGTCTTCTGCGACGACCACGGCAATGCCGTGCACCTCTTCGAACGCGACTGTTCGGCGCAGCGCCGGCATCAGAAGGTGATCGAGGAGGCGCCGGCGCCAGGCCTGTCGCCCGAGCAGCGGGAGGCGATGGGCGCGGCCGCTGTCGCCGCGGCCCGGGCGATTGACTACCGCGGCGCCGGGACCGTCGAGTTCCTCTTTGACAAGGGCGCTTTTTACTTCATGGAGATGAACACGCGCCTGCAGGTCGAGCATCCGGTCACCGAGGCGATCACAGGCCTGGATCTGGTCGAGTGGCAGCTGCGGGTGGCGGCCGGCGAGGCCTTGCCGCGCGCTCAGGAGGATCTCGCCATCTCCGGCCATGCCGTCGAGGCCCGGCTCTATGCGGAGGATCCGGAGAGCGGCTTTCTGCCGTCGACCGGCCGCCTGCTGCATCTCAGCCTGCCGGAGGGCCCTGAGGCGGGCGAGGGCGTACGGGTGGACAGCGGCGTGCGCAGCGGTGACGAGATCTCGGTGTTCTATGATCCCATGATCGCCAAGGTGATCGCCCATGGCGAGGATCGCCCCACCGCCCTGCGCCGGCTGAACCGCGCCCTGGCGGAGACCGAGGTTGTGGGCGTCGCCAGCAACGTGGCCTTTCTGCGCCGGACGCTGGCCCATCGGGCCTTCGCCGCGGGCGGCATCGATACGGCCTTTCTGGATAAGCACCGCGACAGCCTGCTGGCACCCGGCGGGGCGGTCCCGGAACCGGTTCTCGCAGCCGTCGCCCTGGCCGAGATGCGCTGGCGCAGCCGTGAGGCGCGCCGCGCCGCGGCGGCCTCGGGCGATCCCTATTCCCCCTGGCGGCTGACCAACGGCTGGCGCCTGAACTCGGAGACCCACAGCGATCTGACTTTCTTGTACGGCACGCAGGAGATCCAGGTCTCGATCCACTTCGGCCCGGCCGGCTTGAGCCTTTCCCTGCCGGCGGGGGAGCGTGCGGTGCGCTTTGACGAGACCCCCGATGGCCGCCTTGCGGTCCGTCTGGGCGAAGAGACCTTCCGGGCCCGGGTGGTGCGCGACGGCAAGCAGCGCTGGGTGGTGATTGACGGTGCGGTCTGGGGGCTCGGCCTGCAGGATCTGCTGCTGGGTGTGCCGGACGATGCTGTCGGCAGCGGACGCATTGTCGCGCCGATGCCGGGCAAGGTGATGGCGGTGCTGGTTCAGCAGGGAGACCGGGTGGGGCAGGGCCAGCCTCTGCTGCGTCTGGAGGCGATGAAGATGGAGCACACCCTGACCGCGCCGCACGACGGCGAGGTCGAGAGCCTGGCCTGCGCCGTCGGCGAGTTGGTGGAGGAAGGCAGCGAGTTGGCAGTCCTCGCCGAGGCCTGAGGCGCCCCGGATCATCGGCACGGGCAATCCCTCCCGCAGGGCTGGTGCGAGGGGCGTCTTGGCCTTAGCCTTGGCGCGCTGAGGTGATGACGAGGCGGGAGCAGAATGGCTTTTCCGAAGTCCGTGGAAGTGGTTGAGGTCGGGCCGCGCGACGGCCTGCAGAACGAGGCCGGAAAGCTGCCGACCGCGGTGAAGGTGGCGTTGATCGAACGCCTGGCCGAGGCCGGCTGTCCGGTGGTGGAGGCGGGCGCTTTCGTCTCCCCGAAGTGGGTGCCGCAGATGGCCGACACCGCCGAGGTTCTGGCCGCCCTGAAGAAGAGGCCGGGTGTGCGCTATCCCGTCCTTGTGCCCAACGAAAAGGGGCTCGAGCGGGCGCTGGCCGCCGGCGTGGAGGAGATCGCCGTGTTCGCCGCGGCATCGGAAAGCTTCTCTCGGCGCAACATCAACTGCTCGATCGCTGAGAGCCTGGAGCGCTTCGGTCCCGTCGCCGCGGCGGCGAAGGCGCGGGGGCTGCGGATGCGTGGCTACGTGTCCTGCGTTCTTGGCTGTCCCTACGAAGGCGCCGTACCGGCGGCGAAGGTCGCCGAGGTTGCCGGGGGCCTGGTGGCTCTCGGCTGTGACGAGATCTCCCTGGGCGACACCATCGGGGTGGGAACGCCGCAGCGTGCTCAGGACATGCTGACGCAGGTCGCCGCCGCGGTGCCGATGGAGCGTCTGGCGGTGCACTTTCACGACACCTACGGCCAGGCCCTGGCGAACATCCTGGCCTGCCTGGAACTGGGCGTCGCAACCGTCGATTCCGCTGTTGCCGGGCTCGGCGGCTGCCCTTACGCCAAGGGGGCCTCCGGCAACGTGGCCAGCGAGGACGTCGTCTATATGCTGAACGGGCTCGGGATCGAATCCGGTATTGACCTCGACAGGCTGGCTGCGGCGGGGGCGTTCATTTGCGAGGCCTTGGGGCGGCCCTCGTCTTCCAAGGTGGCGCTTGCCTTGGCCGGCCGGGCGGCCTAGGTGGAAGGGCCCGGCGGTCAGACAGCGGTGGACGGTTTATGACGCTTCATCTGATGAAGCTCTGTGTTGGGGTGGACACGGTGGAACAGCTCGAACGCAGCCAGGCACGCCGCCTGCGGCGGGGCGCCAGGCTGTTCCACGACACCCGGATGATGCCCAAGCGGGCCGAGGAGGTCGTCGACGGGGGCTCGCTTTACTGGATCATCAAGGGGCGGTTTCAGGTCCGCCAGGCCATTACCCGGATATCCCCGGAAACCGACTCCGAAGGGCGCGGCTTTGCCCGTCTGCATCTGGATGGCGCCCTCGTGCGGGTGTTGCCGCGCGCCCAGCGGCCGTTTCAGGGCTGGCGCTATCTGGAGGCTGCCAAGGCGCCGCAGGACCTGGCTTCAGGGGGTGCCGAAAACGGGGATCTGCCGCCGGATATGCAGGCGGAACTGAGGGCGTTGGGGATCCTGTAAAAAAGTTTCCGAAGGGGCGCTTTTCGTTCTGGACAGGCCCGCGGCGAAACCCTATATACCTCTCCGCCGACGCGGGAACCCTAGGGTTCCACGGCGGCTCCCAAAGCGCAGGTTTTTCCACAGCCGATGGGCGTTGAAAGCCCTGCGTCTTATCAGTATAGTGTTCGCCCTGTTTTCTGCTTCTGCGAAAGTCATGAAGCGGGCGATTGCTCGGCGGACCGCCTTTGCGCGTGTCCGATACGGGCCGGCTGTTTGACATTGTTGTTTTGATGGAAGGGATACGCGGGCGGTGGGTCTTGGTTTTGGGTCTGCTGATT